CTTGGAGCTGTCAGTACAGAGCCGGACGTGGGGCTTGAACTCACAAACCGTGAGACCATGACCTGAGCCGAAGTCAGAAGCCTAACCCACTCAGCCACACAGGCGCCCCGCTTGGGAATATTCTTAAAGCCTACCTTGTAATTCTATGAGATCAAAGCCATTTCATGGTGCTCTTTTCTCAGACCTTAAGTCAAGTCTGTTGGTAATACTGCAGATGATCTTAAGCATAATAAGAGCAAGGCCGCTCATTCATTACTTCCTGCTTGCCACAGCCATCACTGTTGGGAATTAGGGAACACTGTCAAAAAGTCCTTTTTTGGTGGTGGGGGGGACTAATATATGAAAATGCCTTTGGCTCTCCACTTCCTTAAATCATTAAGGGAATTCAGAACTATAGCATTCTCCTTTCCCCAAATTCCCTGGTTTTGGTGAGACAAAACTGAAATGAACTCCTGAAACATTTTGTTCTTGGTTTTGAAATCTGGTGTCCATAACTTTAATCCAAAGCAGACCTTGTGGTACCCCCTTTGGTATATATGTGCGAGAAACACCTGGAAATGGGTACTGTCAGCCTCCCCTCTGGTCCTGGAGAACTCTGGAAAAGGCAGTGCTGGCCGCAGGCAAAACCAGCTGAAAGTACTTTGGATTATTGCTGTTGCTTTTTATGTTTCTAAGACTTTTGGTATCAATCTTCAAGTTTTTATGCAGATGTGCTTTCGTCTTTCCAGATTCTCAGCCTTCCTGGAGCTTGGGGAATTAATTGTGTTATTATTATTTTTTTCCTCCAGAGAGGGACACACATCACCCAATAGTGAGTGAGATCGAGCAGGGTTGCAGGGCCACGTAGATTTGCATATTGTCTTTACTGTCTTCTTTTCCCTGTGATAACACATCAGCACGAGCCAGCTGCTCTACTGTAATCCTTCGGTGCCTACATTATTTAAGCGCCCGTGAGAGCCCGCAGCCCACAGAAGCATTCCCATAACACATTTAAGCTTATCAACATGTATCCACACTCTCTCTTTTAGTCTTTATTTTTCTGGTTTTCTGTTACATGAATATCTGAGCACAAATACGATGGTAATTTCTCAGACTTTGACTCAGGGGCCGTCTTACAGACCATGGTTCATAGACTGTCCAGCTTTTTTCTCCTCCACTTTTCTTTTTGAATGTGCCATTCTAACTTAAGTTAAATTAAATTTTGAAATGGTCACAACCCATTAAGCTTTAGTTTTGATACAATACCAAGGTAGATCCCACACCCCAAGCTCTCCTTTGAACCAAGATAGATTCCCCAGCAATGCTTTCCCTAAACATTTATTCTCGAACCTGGAAATATTTCTCTTCTCTTAGGTTTTAAAATGAAGCCCCTTTGAAGTCATTTAGCTACAACCCACGGTCTGAACATTTTCTTTAATGGTGTGAAACCTGGACTTTGTTCTGTTCCAAAAACTCCAAGTGAGTTTTGGGGATTTTCTTCATATAAAATTCAGCATTGGCAGGGAAAATGACTAAAACTTGAGAAAAGAAATTGCACCTCAAAGGGAAGACCTATAGGAAACTTAGAAGTAGTTAAAAGTAAGAGCTGAGTTATGATACCCGCTCTCAGTTGGGTTGGCTCTCACATCCTGTATTGATCTTAAATTATGAAATCAGAAACTTGATCTTGCTCCTCAGACTTTGGTATACTTGGCTCAGATTCATGGCCTGATTAACAAGGCTCTTCCTGAAAGACGTCCTACTTTTTTTTTTTATATTTAACTCTTCTTCCCTTTTCCACATTCCTTTGTTCATTTTTAGCCACTTGTTCCTTTTTGAAACCCCTTCCCTCATCCCTTTCATTCTTCAGGCTTTCTGTTTCCATGTTATTATACTCCTCAACTTCTTTGCTCGTACGACTTGAAGGAAGCTTGGAGGAAGTTTTTTGATCACCATTTATGAGTTTGAACCAGGGACAGGTACTTCCTGCTGGTAAGCGTGTGGCAAACCAGCCACATGTGGACACGACTC